AGAAAAAAAATTAGAAAAAGAATTTTAAAACTCCAAAAAAAATTCAAAAAAAAGAAAATTAAGGAACTTTGAAATTACGAAAAGAAGTTTAAAAATATTATTTACACATTGAAGAGAAGAATATAAAATTTGTAAAAATTTTAATCAAGAGAAAAATTTTCAAAAATTGTCGAAAAGCATAAAAAGGAAAATGACAAAAAATTTCAATGCATCAGATTTTCAATCGAAGGAGAAATAAAATTTTAATTGAAGAATAAGAGAAAAAGAAGAAAAAATATCCATTCACTTAAACGTTTAGAACTTTATCAGCAAAAAATATAGAAAAATAACCTTTAAAGAAATACAATTGTTTCTTTTTCTAATTTTTCTCAATTTTTGAGAAATAAAGCAGTAAAGCATTTATTACAAAAAAAAATTAGAAATCTGAAAATCCATATAGAAATAAAAATTGTTCAAAAAGAGAGAAAAAAAAATATCTATAACGGATTTTAAAAATCTGTTATTAATCTCGTTTATTACGATTTTTCTCTTTCATCTCACGTTCTCACAATCGCCTTTTTATAAAGTTTTCCTTTTTTTCCCCTCTCTTTTTTTTAAGTTACTTGTCAATCAATACACATGTGACAAATTTCAGTGCCATTTGAAATCCAGAACACGATTTTTATACTTCCATGCACTGGAATTTGCGCATTTCCCCAAGATTTATAGTATCTGCAATATTAAAGAACGGCCTTTTTCGAGAAAAGAAGAAGGGAAGAAGAAGAAGAAGAAAAAAAGGAGAGTAAACAACAAAAGATAAAAATTGGATAAAGGTTGAACAATCTGAGAATGATAAAGATAAAGCTTTTGTCTTTTGAGAGAAAGAAAACAGTGAAAGAATATATATACATATATGAAAAAGGGAAAACGAAACGAAAAAAATTGGGAAAAGCATTTTTTCCATTTGGTTCATTTTTCTCAAAGATGACATGAAGAAGAGGAAAAAAAAGAAAAAGAGAGAAAGAGAAGGAAAAAAATATCAAGAAGGTGAAAAAAGATATTAAATAATCAAAGAAGAAATGCTAATTATTAATTTATATTTTAAATACTGTTTTCTCTATTATCATTTTTTTCCTAAATTTATTTTTTTTTACATTTATGATATTCCGTCGGAAATACGAAGCAAATAATCTGCAAATTCCAAGGAATTTCCGTCTGAAATTTTCCTGGCTTTCTTTCCACTTGGTTCAGAATCCCAATCGGAATTCCGACGGAATTTCCAAAGGAAATTTTCTAGAAGCACTTTTTTCAAGAAATTTTTCCAATGAAAAACGGAAATCGTAACGAGTAACGAAACGGAAATAAAAAAAAAAGGGAAAAACTTCCGTTCCTCTATTTCTCATTTTCCCCTTTTTCTCCACGTTTTCTTCTCGATCTCTCCCTTTTCAATGCGTTTTCCTTCATTTAAACTCTCTTCCGTCTCTCTCTCTCTTTTTTTCTCGTATTTTTCCTTCCCCTCGCTCCGCCCTTTCATGTTTCTTAGCTTTTAATCTTCCCGGCGTTTCTCTCTTTTTTCGTTCCTTTGGATTTGATTTCTTATTTGATTCTGGATTTCCTTCCGTTTCACTCCTGAGATTAATGTTTTTTTTCCTCTATAAATTCTTTTTTATTTATTCTCTTCGCTATTTTTTATTCATCTTCAATTTCTTCCTTTCAAGTGTTGGAAAAAACACTTTTTCGTTTTCTTTCCTGTTTGGAAATTTCTATTTTCTTTTCTCAATTGTTTTTTTGTTATTGGACATTTTTCGTTTAGTTTCATTCAAATTTTCTTTAGTTCTACTTTTCGATTTTGACGAAATATTTTTTCTGTTATTTCAGTTGTTCTTTGAATTTTTTTTCTTAGAGGTTATTTGGAAAAATTAATTCGAAAAAATAACATTCAATTGAAAATAGAAAAAAAAATTTAGAATACCCCCCAAAATATTTGGATATTTGGAAAAATTAATTCGAAAAATTACATTGAATTGAAAATAGAAAAAAAAATTTAGAAAACCTCCCAAATATTTGGATATTTGGAAAAATTAATTATATTAAAAAGCAAGATAAAAAATAAAATAAAAACGGGAAATAAAAAATAATTGAAAACATCAAAATCAGAAAAGGAATTTTGAAACTGCAAGAAAAACGTCAAGAATGAAGAAAATGAAATTAAGAAACTTTAAAATAAAGAAAAGAAGTTCGAAAATTCTGGGAAGGGATAAAAAAGAAGAAAAAAATTAAAGAATATGAAAATCATGTCCAGAAATCTTAAGATTTGCGAAAAAAATTTTAAAGAAGATGGAAAAATTTTCAAAAACCTCAAAATCGGAAATAGAAGTTTAAAAATTTGGGAAAAATGTCAAGAACGAAGGAAATCAAATCAAGAAAAGAATTTACAAGATTCGGGCAAGGGATAAAAAAGAAAAAATTTTAAAGAAGATGGAAAAATTTTCACAAACTTTAAAATCAGAGAAAGAAGTTTAACGCTTTGGTGAAAATATCAAGAGCGAAGAAAATGAAATTAAGAAACTTAGAAATCAAGAAAAAAAGTTTCAAAAATTCTGGGAAGACATAAAAAAGAAGAATTAAAAATTTCAAGAACATTAAAATCAAAACAAGAAACCTTAAAATTTGCCGAAAAATTTTAAAGAAGAATCAGGAAAAGGAAAAAGTGGATAAGAAGGGAAAAAGGAACGGTGACACAAAAATCAATAAAAAGAAAAAAGCAAAGGAAGAAAAAATGGAAAAGAAAGAAAAAAGATTTATTTTTCCTTTCTTTTTCATTTTTTTTTTTTAAGAAGAAGAGAAAAGCGAATCGAAAACAAGAAAAACGAAAAGAAGGAAAGAACAAAACAGAAATGAATGAAAGGAAAAAAGAAAAAAATGGATAAGAAGAGAAAGAGAGGAGAGCGAAATAAAAATCAATTAAAGGAAAAAAGCAAAGAAGGAAAAATGAAAATGAAAGAAAAAAGATTTACTTTTTTCCTTTCTTTTTCTTTTTTTTTAGAAGAAGGGAAAAGCGAATCGAAACTCAAGAAAAGGAGAGAGAATGAAAGCACAAAATAGAAATGAATAAAAGGCAAAAAGGAACAAAAGTAAATTAAAGGAAAAAAGGAAATGAAGGGAAGAGTGAAAGTTAAGGAAAGGGAAAAAGGACAAAGAGGAGGTGAAGGAAAAAAGGAAAGAAAGGGAAAAGAAGATGAAATGAAGGTTAGGGAAGAAAGGAAAGAAAGAAAAAAACGAAACGGTAATCAATGAAAGGAAAAAAAGAAAGAAGAGAAGAAAAGGAAAAAAAGGAAAAGAAGGGAAGAGCGAAACGAAAATTAAGGAAAGGGAAAATTCTATAAAGGAAGGAAGAGAAGGAAAAAAGGAATCAAAAATCAATGAAAGGAAAAATAGTGAAGATGGGAAAATAAAGCGAAACAAAAAGGAAGAAAGTAAAAACGAAAAATAGAGGATAAAAGGAGAAGAAGAAGAAAAAAGAAGGAAAAAGTAGGTAAAGAAAGAAAAAAGGAAAAATAGAGGATAAAAGGAGAAGAAAAAGAAAGAAGAAGGAAAAAGAAGGTAAAGAAAGAAAAAAGGAAAAATAGAGGATAAAAGGAGAAGAAAAAGAAAGAAGTAGGAAAAAGAAGGTAAAGAAAGAAAAAATAAAAAATAGAGGATAAAAGGAGAAGAAGAAGAAAAAAGAAGGAAAAAGAAGGTAAAGAGAAATGAAGAAGAAGAAGAAGAAGAAGAAGAAAAGAGAAGCAAAAAGAAGATAAATAGAGAAGAAGAAGAAAAGAGAAGGAAAAATAAGGTAAATAGAAAAGAAGAAGAAAAGAGAAGGAAAAAGAAGGTAAAGAGAAAAGAAAAAAAGAGAAGAAACAAGAAGAAATAAAGAGAAGGAAAGTAAAAAGAAAAGAAGAAGAGGAAAAAGAAGGAAAAACGAAAAGAAGAAGTGAAAGGAATAAAGAAGAAAACCCATGCAAAAAGGAAAGCAAATAAAAAAGTCCGAATACTGCACAGTTTCTGCCCTATTGTTTCTCTCCACTCTATCTTTTATTCTCTTCTCTTCTCATCTCATCTTGATCCCACTGATAATTCCTCCTTGTCTATTCTCTCCCACCCATCTTTATCTAACTTGCACTCGCACCCTCTATCAAGCAACCGTCTCACTCTCTCTCCCCTGTTTATTTCATTTCCCTATCCTCGTCTATATGGTGTTTCTCTCTTTCCCCCCTTTCCAGTCATCTCACACGGTCGCGCCGCTCCCCACATTTTAGTCTGCGCGCGATACCTCGCAGCAGTCCGCCGGCGACTCTTCAATGGGAGTGACTGCGTGTGCTCCTCCACGAAAAATCGTCATCATTCCTTCCTCTTCTTTTTTGTTTCCCTTGTTTTCTTTTTTCCTGTGTTGATTTTTTTTCTCACTCAAAAACAAAAAAAAAAAAAAAAAAATTTGTGACTCTTGTGTGTGTTGTCGTCGTCGTCTCCCCTCTCTCTTTCTTGTAAACCGGAAGTAGTTCCGGTAATCCGGCCCTCCTATCGAACAGACACACAGTCACCGGGTGCATGTTTTTCGAGGTGGCATATGAGCAGCGTAAGTGCACGTGACAGTTTCACATTCGGGCTCGCTTTTGTGAATAGAGAGCAAAGGAGACAGAAAAAAATAGAGAAAGAGCAAGAAAAGAGAGAATAAAGGCGAAAGAAGAGTAAAAAAGAGAGAAAGAAAAAAATAGAGAGAGGAAGAATATCAAAACAAAGAGAGAGAGAGAGAGAGAGAAGAAAAGAGAATAAAGGCGAAAGAAGAATAAAAGAGAGAGAGAGAGAGAGAGAATAAAGGAGAAATAAGAGTAAAAAAGAGAGAAAGAAGAGAAGAGGAAGAAGAGTAAGAGAGAGAGAAAAGAAAATAGAAAGAAGAGTAAAAAGGAGAGAGAGAATAAAGGAGAAAGAGAAGAAAGAAGAGTAAAAAAGAGAGAAAGAAGAAAACAGAAAGAAAAGTAAAGAAAGGAAGAGAGTAAAGAAGAAAGAAGAGTAAAAAGAAGAAAAAATAGACAGTAAAGAAGAGAGAGAGAAAAAGAAAGCAAAGAAGAAAGAAAAATAAAATAGAGAAAGACACCAAAAAAAGAGGATGTATTGCATCGGCACATAAATATCGCAAAAACCATTGTGCACACGAGTTCAAATGAAAAATTTCCAAATGGACACATTTTATTGAATGTCATTTTTAGTCATGGAATATGTAAATAGAAAAAAAATGTTCTCGACTTGATTCAAAATATTTTTCTCCAATACACAAAATTCTTTTTCATTTTTTTTTTTTTTTTTTCAAGGGAGAGAGAAATTTGTCATCATCAATATAGAAGTGAATTATTTGTGATTTTGTGAGAGAAACTCAAAATGTATTTCGGTGCTGCTAATGGTGATGTGATTGAGATTAAACTAAAATTATAACTTTTGTGGTAATATCGTTCTTGTGGAACTGCAGTTCGTGTCAGGATATTTGATACATTGTGTGTGTTGGGAGTTATTGCTGATCACTGGACTTTTTCAACTTGAAATCAGGTGGATAAGATTAATGTTACTTTTTTCTCTATATTTTAAGTGGATTTTAAAGTTGAAAAATTATTTTCCCTCACCTCTTATCATAAAAATGATATAAAGAAAAATTTATTATTAAATGTGAAAGTATTGAGAGGAAAAATGTGATATAAAATTTTAGTTTTGAGAGAAATTTATATTTTTTTCTCTGAAATTACTTTTTGCAGTATTTCACTAAAAAATTGAAACTAAAATGAATGTCATTTTTAGCTATTTCTGTATTTTTGAAAATAAAATAAAAATTTAATTTTAAATTTAAATTAGGTACATTAAATTAAAGTTGAATTTATATTAAAATAAATGAAAGGTAAATTTTTATTAAATTAAATTAAAGTTGGATTTTTATTAAATTAAATTAAAGTTGAATTTTTATTGAATTAAATTAAAGTTGCATTTTAATTAAACATAAATGAAAATTCCGAATATTTAAACTCAACCAAAAATTATTTTTGAATTTTTATTCACTAAAAATTACGTTTAATTCAATTATAAAATAGATATGTTTAATTCAAACATATTTTTTTTTGGTTGGCTACATATTTTTGGATTTAAAAAAAATATTTCTCAGAGAATGTACGAACTTTATTTATTTTTTCTTTAAATTCAAAAATTATTGCAATAATATTGCGACAATTGTTATAAAAAATGACAAAGATTCTAAAGATTTAATTTTTTTTCTCCTACAATAGTTAAAAAATAAATATTTGTAATCTTTATAACTTATTGTTTTTAATACGCAACTCAATGTTATTTCAATAATAACATAAAATTATTAATACACTAAAAGAAAATTTATTTAATTCGATGACTTGTCGATTATTAAATAAATATTTACTTAAATCAAATGATTTCTATTTAAGCCAATTAACTGATAAGTAAAGACCCAGCGTATTAAATTGTATTTGAACCAATAATTTCAGTATTTGAAGCAAATACCATTTAATTGGTTCAAATAAAAAATTATTTGATTCAGGTAAATATTTATTTGATAATAGACATATAATCGGTTATTTGCAACATTTTTTTCTTCAAACTGTATTGTCAAAAAATTTTATTTATTCAAACGTTCAGAACTTGTAGAATCATAAAATTGAAAATGTAAATTTAAAATTTATTTAGTTTTCGATTCACAATTTTAATTTATTTCTAATATAAAAATATTCATCTTTACGATTTTTATTCTTAATTTTTAAATTTTTGAAGTGTTTGAAGTCGTCATTTATTTATTCAGTATTTATTTTGTTCTTATTTTCAAATTAATTAATTAATTAAAAAAGTTTTAATTTAAAAATTTTTAAAATGAGTTACTTTAAAAAGTCAATTTTATTTTACTGAATTTTTCAGTTGACGCTGAATAAATTTAAATAAGCATATTATTCTAATTACTTAACAGCCACAACATTTATCAACAACAAAAATAGAATTGAATTAATCCAGAGAAAAATATTTTTATAAGCGAAAAATTTTTGTAAAAGGGTACAGAGAGAAAGTTTTGCGGTCATGATGAGAGATTGATAAAAATTCCAAGAGGATGAAAATAAAAAAGAATTTTCTTTTTCTCTTTTTTGACTAAAATTTGTAGGAATATTTGAAATAACTTATAAGAATGTTTATTGAAGAAGTCTGGTAAAAATATTATTGGAATTTACTCAAGTATTTTAGAAGAAAAGTGGAAACTTTAAAAAGAAACTTTTAAAGGCTTTGTTGAAATATGCCAAACTCCCGTGTATACATGTTCCTTGCACGCTATTGTAGGATTCAAAAAATTTTCAAATTAAACTAAAATTTTTTTTTTTTTCAACGAGAACATCTTTATTTTAATTAATATTGAAATATGTGCACTTTCGTTTGTCTTTTAATAAAATTAACCAAAATAATCAAAACAAAAAAAAAATTATTCACAGAATAAAATATATTATTAATAATTATAATATTATTATTTATTAATAATCATTAATAACATTTATCATTATTATCATTATTATTATAAACAATATTAATATTATTAATAATAATAATAATTCTGAATTTTTAAATTATAAGAAATTTAGAAAATTAAAGTCTGACAGACTGTTGACTTTTACTACTGAAACTAAATAAAACAAAAATTCACTACGCTTATAAAAATGATAAAAAATTTTTAAATGAGAATGTAAAAATGTCTAATTAAAATTTTCGTCTTTTAATTTGAATTTAAAAAGTACAAAAATTCGTAAAAAATTTCTATTTTTATTCTCAGCGAAATTAAATTGAAACAATTTTCAACTGTCCAGAAAAAAGTTTCTTATTTTGTCAAAATAAGTTTCGTTTGAAATTAGGTGATAACAAGAGTTGAAACTTATTTTGACCGATAAATACTAAAGGCATCATTAACCACGACTATTAAATCTTTGCAGCTGCGGGACTCAACTTCCGATAGTAGTTAACTTCTTCGTTCCTTATTCTCAAAAAGTTTTCCTCATCCAAAGAGGACAAAATGTTTTGGATCGAACTTACTTAATTTGGAGAACAAAAACACGCAGTACTTGCGAGACACAAATATGTCTCAAGGAATTTTTTTTTTTCGCTTCTTTGAAACTTGTAAAAACCTTTTTATTTATTTATTTTTTTCTTTTTTGTTGCCATTTTAATATAAACTTTACCATATTCGTGTATTATAATAAAGTGAAAATTCCTGCACATGAAGTTTTGAGAAAACTTTTTAGTTTTTGCCGTCGTGTACTATATATTGTGGATATATATTATGTGTGATGAAAAATATCTTATTATTAGGTTTTTTTTGTTTTGAAAAATTTTTTAATAACAAGTTGAGATTTTCGTTTTTTTCGTATCTGGGTCGGTTTTTTTGATTTAATATTAGACAAAAATGAATTTATTTTATATAAATTATTAATTATTATTAACTAGAATAATCTCCTATAATTATAAAACTCCTTTATTAGCATAAATTTTAATGCCCATTGTTAGTTAGAAAATCTTTCTTTTTGAAATTTAATAAAAATTTATTAAAAAAAAAAAAAAATTTTTCAAAGTATAATTCTTTAAAAATACGATTATAATAATCATAATATTTCAAATCAATTTTTAAAAGGAATGAAATTAAATTCTTCCAAATATAAAATTTATTTCAAAGAAATTTGACAAAACTTTCAATTTTTAAAATTATTTTCGAGAATTTAATTGTATTCAAAAGAATTTTAATTACAATTTTTCAAAAACATAATTTTTTTAGAATAACTACATTAAATTATTTAAAATTCCAATAATTGTTGTTGAACAAATATTAAAAATTTTATTGTTATTTATTTTAATTGAAATTTTAAATAATTTTAATGTAAAACGTATTGAAATTTAATTATTTCTACAAATTACAATTGCAATTTTTTTCAAAAGTCAATTAGTTTTTAGAATTTTTGAATAAAATTATTCAAAACTTTAATAACTATTAGAAGAATATAATATATTAATAATAGTTTAAATAAATATTTAAAAATTATTATACTTTTACGTTGATTAAAATGTTAAAAAAATTTTAATTTAAAAACCTTTTCAAATTAAATTATTTCTCATAAATTCTGCCATAACGTTTCTAATATTCAATTATTTTTCAAAATTTTAACTAAAATTCTTTTTTAAATCAATTTAAAAAAATCAATTTTTAGAATTTAACAATAATTGAATTATTTAAGGGCATTTGAACCATGATGACGTCACAGATTTAAAACTAATGCTTTGCACAAACTGTGACGTCATCAAGGTTCAAATCCCCTTAAATACAAAAATTTTGGTAAAATTTAATTATTTTCTAAATTTATAGTTACAATTCTTCAAAATATAAAATATAAAATATATATGTTAATGAAATTTAAGAAAATTTCCTATTTTTCCAATTTTTTAAAATTATTTTCGGCAATTGAATTGTTTTCAAAAAATGTTAACCTCAATTTTTCAAAAATCTCATTTTTTTTAAATTTCTACATTAAATTATTGAAAACTAAAAAAAAATATTTTTGTTAAACAAATATTTAAAAACTTAATGTTATTTTTATTTTAATTGAAATTGCAAATAAATTAATAATTAAATAAATAATAAATAAATAATATTAATTAAATAAACTAAATGTAATTCATTTTAAAAATTGCAACTGCAGTTTTTCTAAAATTAAATTTTTTTTTTTTGAATTTTCGATTAAAATTATTACAAAATTTAATCATTTTTAAAGAAAAATAATATATTGATATAATTTTTTTAAATAAACATTTAAATATTATTATACTTTTACGGGCATCAAGTGTTAGAAAGATTTCAATTTAAAAACCTTTTTAAATTTAATTATTTCTTAAAATTTCGTTATTACTTTTTTAATGTTCAATTATTTTTAAAAATTTCATTATTTTCCAAATGTTTATGACAATTCTTGAAAAAATAAAATAATATTTAAAAATAATTTTTTAAAATGAGAAAATAACATTTTTTGAAATATAAAATTTATTTTAATAAAATTTAAAAAAATTTCTTATTTTTATAATTTTTGATAATTATTTTCGGAAATTTAACTATTTTTAAAAAAAATTTAATTAAAAATTTTAATTTTAATAAATTTTTAATTTATTAATGTATATTAAATAAATAAATAAATAAATAAATAAATAAATTACAACTTTTTAAAAACCGCATTTTTTTAAGAAAAATTTTTCAAATTCCACTAATTTTTGTTTCATAAATATTTGAATACTTATTGTTATTAATTTGTTCATTAGGAATTAAAATTAGAAAAAACTTTCAATGTAAAACATTTTGAAATTTAATTATTTCTAAAAATTACAACTACAATTCTTCTAATTTTTGAAATATTTTCTAAAATTTTAACTGAAATTTTTTTTCTATCAATAATTAAAAAGTTGTAAGAGAATTCAATTATTAAAATGCAAAAATAAGTGATAAAATAATTATTTCTGATAAT